CTAGCAGGTCCACACTGCCAACAGGACCACACTGCTAGCAGGTCCACGCTGCTAACAAAACCATGCTGCTTACAGAACCACACTGCTAGCAGGTCCACGCTGCTAACAAGACCATGCTGCTGAAAAAACAATGCTGCTAACAGGACCACACTGCTAGCAGGTCCACGCTGCTAGCAGGTCCATGCTGCTAACAGGTCCACACTGCCAACAAGACCACACTGCTAGCAGGTCCACGCTGCTAACAGGACCACACTGCTAGCAGGTCCACGCTGCTAACAAACCATGCTGCTTACAGAACCACACTGCTAGCAGGTCCACGCTGCTAACAAGACCATGCTGCTGAAAAAACAATGCTGCTAACAGGACCACACTGCTAGCAGGTCCATGCTGCTAGCAGGTTCATGCTGCTAACAGGACCACACTGCTAACAAGACCATGCTGCTAACAGGACCACACTGCTAACAAAACCATGATGCTAACAGGACCACACTGCTAACAAAACCATGCTGCTAACAGGACCACAATGCTAACAAAACCATGCTGCTAACAGGACCACACTGCTAACAGAACCAAGCTGCTTACAAAACTACACTGCTAACAGGATCATGCTGCTAACAGGACACCGCTGCAAACAGGACCATGTTGCTAACAGGTTCACACTACTAACAAGATCTTGCTGCTAACAGAACCACACTGCTTACAGAACTACACAGCTAACAGGACCATGCTGCTAATAGAATCATGCTGCTAACAGGAGCACACTTCTAACAGGATCTTGTCGCTAACAGGACCGCACTGCTAACAGAAACACGCTTCTAACAGAACTACAATGCTAACAGGACGACGCCGCTAACAAGAAGTGTTTTTATAACACTATTTTTTATTTTAATTGCTTTTTATTGTTGTGTGTTGTTGTCTGTCTAAATCAAGACTCTCTTAAAAATGAGTCCTCTTGACTCAGTGAGACTAAGCTGTATAAATAAAGGTTGAATTTAAAAAAATGTGTGAAAAAACTGAAAGTAAAGTAATATGAGACTGTGCCACACACTTTGGAGTACGTTTTACTGGTAACATTAATCTGAAAGGTCCTCAGAGCTAACACTCAAAGGGATAGTTTTTGAATACTTTAAAAGGCAGTTCTGTAGAAAAAGTTTATAATAATTAATATCTTACCTGTTGCAGATAGTAATTTAAACAACCTCAGTTTGGAAAATTAGCGTCTAAGTCCAACAAGTTGGTCTGAATGCAACTGAGATCAAATTGGATTGCTGTCTTCTTGAAACATCTCCAATCTCCAACATTTCCTAAAGGTTCGAGTGAACATTATTTCACACACCTTTACACAGCTGACATTTTTGCATTGTGTAAATATTTACAAGTTCAAATGGTGCCGGCAGCAGCGAGCTGTTGCTCTGGTGGTGCAGCCTGGTTAGTGGTCACACTATCTGTAGGAATGTAAAAACATCCCCCCCCCCCCCCCCCAACAAAAAAGCATTTAATTCAAATTCACAGTGGATAAAGGTTTAATTATTGATCCATGCATGGATTGCTATATTTTTAAGATGCTGTTGTTTATGACTTTAAAGTCTGCTTTGGAAGTGGATCTCCTCTGACTAGACGTTTGCTTGTCCAAGTAAAAAGTAAACTCACATCAGAACTCCAGCACGTGACCAAAAACCTGCTGAATGAAACCAATTTATTTATTTTGGTTGCAATTTTGTTTTTCATTCCTTTTCCTTTGCAACATTTTTTCCCGGCCCATAAAGACAGTCCTGAGAAGAAGAGCAGAGTGGTGCTCCTCCTCCCCCACCAGTTACTCTGAACTGACAACCAGTTGTATATGGTGGCTAAAAGTGGGTCACTTTCCTAAATGTTTCCCTCGTTAAAAGAGAAAGTAAACAAAACTGTGCGTGAAGTTTAGCCAAGTTAGATAATAATAAATAGCTAAAAAGTTCCAATCACTTTATGAAAAAAAGAACTGTAAAGAAACAGTTTCTGAGTAATAAACATTTACTATGGAAGTAGAACTAGATTAACATGGCGTTTATTCTTTTGTTACTTTGGTACTGGCCAAACATTGGAAAAATATGTATCAGCCTCAGAATAAGTGCCAACCATGAGCACAAAAAGGGCAAAATGTCTGATTTTAGGGAAAACTGACTAGTTTAGTTTCTGTGACTCAGAAACAAGCCAACCACTGGGACACGCAGCAAAACAGTTGTTTTTAATGATCGCGTCGCTGTTTGTCATCAAAGCATAGCAACATGCTAAAATCAGATACACAAAAGATAGCTGAGAGAACTATTGTTTATAATTTAGAGGTGTAAGAGCTCTAAAAATTAGGGTCCACCTAAATTCTGTGGTGATGCACCAGTTCAACCAGTACAAAACCACACAAACCTCCACCATTTCATAGTAGTTTTTGTAAACAGTATTATTTAAACCTTTACACCACAGTAAATTTCATATAATAGTTATTTACATAGAAATATTAAGAAATTCCTGCCAAAAGTGAGCCCTAGATAACACAGAAGTGCTACTGTTGGGGCTCTTTGTGCATGTAAACAAACAAACAAACAAACAAACAAAAACCTAAACATAAATTTCCATGTACATAACTGTGGAATGTGAAATTGACATCACAGTAAAAGTTCACAAAATATCAAAGTTCATGCTCAATAATCCAGGTAAAAAAAAATCCAACAAAGTTAAGTCAGGTCCTCTGGACGGTTTCTTTTGTTGAAACATTTCGTCTTTCATCCAAAAGACTTCATCAGATGTGTGACCTGGATTATTGAGCATGAATTTTGATGTTTTTAACTACTTTGGCCATGGCTGCCTCAAACAAGTCGACAGGGGAGAGGGAGGACTCCAGAAACCATCTTAGCATCAGCAAACTGGTCGGCGCACTATGAGAGTGTGCAACTTACGGGACTGAGTTTGTTGTGGCTCCTTGGACTGATGAAGTCCTTTGGATGGAAGATGAAACGTTTCAACAAAAAGAAACCGTCCAGAGGACCTGACTTAACATTGTTGGGTTAACAAAGTAGTATTCACATGAACAGCTGGGACATTTCACAGACTGGAACTGCATTAAGATGGCAGCCACCAGGGCATCAAAATAAGTCTCAATTATTCCAGTTTTCTTCAAATAATCCATTCCCAGTCAGTCCTGTCCCCCTGGTCTTGTCTCGTCCCAGTCAACCAACGCTCCAAATATAAGAATGACTTCTCATGTGTGCTTTCCTTCATACTTTATTCATG